CCTTCCTGCTCTACAGCTCTCAGCTGTAGGAACGAGCGGTGATCTTGTTTTGGTGCCTAATGGAAGTTGTCAAACCCCAGGCCCCGAAAGCCAGGGTGGCCCATGCCTTCTGCTCTCCGTGGGGAGCTAAGTCTCAGCAGCAAGACCTTGTTTGAACAGGCATGCCCTGTCCCACCTCTTCCTAACCTCAGCCCCACTCCTTTCTCTGCAGGTAAATGCCCAGGCCCTTACCAGTGCTTTCTCTCCGCACACCAAACCCTGGATCGGTCTGGCAGAAGCTCTGGGGACACTGATGCGAGCCTGGGCCGGGTCCCCCAAAGGGACCATCCAGGTGGTAACGCAGGGTGAGCTGGGAACACTGCAAAGGGAAGGGGAGAGGGTTGTGGACTACGCACCCCACCAGGTGTGTCTGCTGCAGGTCAGACAGTGAGGGACTCAGAGGTGACTCTGGTCTGGGGACTCTACGTCCCACGTTCTGAGTATGGCTCACTTGCTACTGAGTGGGGACAGAAGAGGAGGGGGGCAAAAAGTCATTGGGAAATATACTTAATTTTCACAAATCATGTTTGTGCAGTATTTTAAAGATAGACATGTTTGGGGTGCAAGAGAAACCTCCACAAGAGATGGAGTTTCTCGTGAAAGGCAATAGGATTGTTGGACAGAGTCCCGGGTTAGGTGACAGGACGTGTGATTCTGTCACTTACCTATTGTGTGACATTCCTGTCTCTGAGCTGTGGGTTTTTCATGTGTGACGTGAGAGTGAGGGTGGGGGTGCCACATGAGGTGGTGGGGACATTCTGTGTTCTGTGACAGGCTGAAATGGACCCTGGGACAAGCTGATCGCCTTGGGGGCATTTGCTCAGTTGTGGCTGGGAACAGTACAGCACCTTCTCTCTGCCCCTCGGTGGCTGAGCAGACTCTGGCCACGGTTGCCGTAGGTCCAGCCCTCTGCAGATGTGCCGGAGACCAGGGAGGGCTCCCGTCCCCTAAACCTTGCACAGGATTGTCCTCCCCATTGACTGCTAGGCATTTACTCTCTTGGGAAGAGATTGGGGGTGGGGTGGGTAGACCCTGAGCATTGCCTGTCCTGGGCAAGGTCTGAGTATGACAAGCAGGCCAGGGCGGCCAGGCCATGGCAGATATGTGGGGGCGCTGGGTTTGGGCTGTTTTGGATAGGAGTTTCTGAAACTGTTTGAGTGTGTCATCGGGGTCCTGACCTCCTCAGGACCAGTCTGGGCCAGCCCCTGGGGCAGGTCCACTCACCCACTCTGTCTCCGTTCCCCAGGGGAAGTAGGACTGCCCAGGCAGGCTGGAATCGGGGCCCCCAGTGCAGCGATGAGCCCGTGACCCCAAAGTGGGGTCTCCTGCCCCTCCTGTGTTTCTCAGTAAACAGTGACCTCATGGTGGCTTCTTTTCGGTCCCCAGGTATGTCCCTAAAGAATGCTGGGAACTGCCTAAGCCCTGCGGTCATTGTTGGCCTCCTAAAGGACGCTTCCAATCACGTCGATGTGAACTTGGTGAACGCCAAGCTGCTGGTGAAGGAGGCTGGCCTCAATGTGAGTGCCCACCTGCCCTCCCTCCCCATCCTGCCAGCTCTGCCCTTCCCTCCCCCCAAACATGTTTTCAAAGCACGCTTGCAGCCCTGCTCAGTGGGTGGGGCCCTGGGTGCAGTCCTGCCATTGACACTGTCTACCTGTGAGGTACCCGAGAGGTACGTATTCATCTGCAAAGTGGGGCTTCCTCCTGCCTCCGAGCGCTCGCTGCTATGCCTGAAAGTGCTGTGTACACGTGCTCTGACACCCCCCATTTCACAGCTGAGAAGACTGAGGAGCCAGGCTGCTGGGCCTCTGACTCCATCCAGGGCTCCGTCCACTGCAGAACCCAGCTTCTTGCTTAGCTTGCAGACTCCTTGGGAGCCAGCAACACACCCTTGAGCCTCTGCTGTCCTCATGGCTTTTCTTTGGCATCTTTCCCTCTGGTTCCCTTTGTAGATCAAAGTCTGTGTTTCTCAGCCAGTGGGAGCTGGCAGAAGCAATGGGAAGTAGGACTCCCATGACCCCCCTCCTCCCTGCTCTGCACCCCCACATCGGAGTCTGGCCACTGGTTCTGTGCAGGAAGCAGCGAGCAGGAGGGTTCAGGCTCGTTCAGCCTCCAGGCAGACCTGCTAACCGAGGTCCTAACCCTGCCTCCCACCCCTCCCCTCCAAGCCGTTACCAGTACCTGGCACATCTTTCCTTAGGAAGCTGCTGTTCAGAGGCTCAAGGCTTAGCCCACTGGCCCATTCCCCTGGCCCTGAATTGCTGGCCTGGTTGGCCCGGCTGAAGCCCTACAGATCAGCCAGGGGGTTGAGGGAGAGGGTGGGCGCGATGCAGCCAAGAGGCCTAATTGTGCCCCCTGCTTTCTGTCTGCAGGTAACCATCTCTCATAACTCTGCTGGGCCAGGAGAGCAAGGATGCGGGGAAGGCCTCCTGACCGTGGCCCTGGCAGGTGCCCCCTACCAGGCTGTGGGCTTGGTCCAGGGCACCACACCTGTGCTGCAGGCACTCAACGGAGCTGTCTTCAGACCAGAAGTGCCTCTCCGCAGGGGTCTGCCCCTGCTCCTGTTCCGGGCTCAGCCCTCCAACCCTGCAATGCTGCCCACCATGATTGGTGAGGAGGGGCCTGTGGGGCTTGCTGGTGGTTGGTTGGGGAAGGCGCTGTCCTGTCCTGGGATTGGGTTCTGTAGACCTTTGCCTCCTTCAGCTCCTTTCCAGCCTCAGGGCACCTCTGGATCTGCAGCTGACAGAGGGTCTGTGGTGCCAGTTTCCAGAACATGGAGAAGTAGATACAGAACTCAGAGGAAGGTCACAGGGCAGTGTGGCAAGGGTTGGACCGCAGAGCCACTATTAACTGGGCTGCTCACCATGTGAAGCACAGTGTAGACCTTCCTGTGGAGACGAATCCCAGGAGCTCAGAGCCACAGAGCGCTGGTCTCCTGACCACAGCCAAGCCTGTCGGGCATCCCCTCTGGCACCACGGGCATCCTCACCTGCCCCAGTCGGCTGGCGCCTGGGCCTCAGGGAGTTTTGATCACAGCTGTCTTAGACTCCCAGCCTCTCACTTCTTTCCCATGCCCTGTGCCAACCAAGGGTTTCTTTTTCCCAGGGCTCCTGGCAGAGGCAGGCGTGCAGCTGCTGTCCTACCAGACCTCAGTGGTGTCGGATGGGGAGACCTGGCACGTCATGGGCATCTCCTTGCCGCTGCCCAGCCTGGATGCCTGGAAGCAGCATGTGACGGAGGCCTTCCAGTTTCACTTCTAACCTCGGGGCTCACCGGGCCCAGCCTCGGGGGCCTTGTGATCCACACTGAGAGATCACATTCTTGGGGCTGACACTGCTTCTGTGGTCTGACCCCTATAGCACAACAGTCACCACCTAATAAAGAGCCCACCCCCAGTCTCCCTGTGTTGTCATTACCCACAAGAGCCACCAGAGGGCGTCGGCAGGCAGCCATGGGGTTGGCTTTGGCTGTAGGATCTGGATGGGCACACTGCATGCCTGGGTGTGGGTACGCCATTGGCCCGGGACTAAGCCTGCAGCCGAGGTAGGTGCCCTTGGCTGGGATCGACCTGGGACCCTTCAGTCCAGGGGCCGACGCTCTAACCACTGAGCAGAACCGGCCAGGGCTTCATTATTAAATATTGTTAGCATCATCCCTGGGCTTTGCCGAGTGGCTGCTGCGTGGACGCAGGGCTGGCCCGTCATCGGGTGCTGTGGGAGGTCCTGGTGGCCGAGGCCGATGCAGTTCTCGCATCAGGAGCCCCCAGCGAATTGTATGAACATAAGGCAAGTCCCGGAGTCTGATCTCAGGTGAACGTGGGCTTTTCTCCCATGACTACAGATGCTACTTGGGAGATCTCAGGAAAGGCACATACTGTCCTGCCAGGGATGCCAACCAGACTGAGGGCCCCCAAACTTAGCTTGCCGAGGGCTAAGGGGCAGCCCCAGCTGGTGTAATAGAGTCCAGATTTTCTGGTGCCTATTGGGACATGAACAGCAGTGGCTGAAGACCAGACTGGTCGGGCCCAGCATCACAGTCCCATGTGTCTGGTGCCCCTTTATCCCAGCCAGCTCTGCTCCCCTCCAAAGTGCCCTTTCTCATCGGGGTGGCTGAGGAAACCTCCTAAAGGAAATGAAGGGCAACAACTCAGTGTCCTCCCTCCAAGTCCCCTCCCCAGCTCAGTCCCCACCTCCCTGAACCACAGCTATTTTATAAGAGGATCCTGGAAAAAGCAGTGCCCTAACCCGAGGGGGACAAACAACCCTCTAATGGAAAAACATCCCGCTAGTTATCAAAAGTGTTTTTTTGGCTGGAGGAGCCAAAAACGTTACCTATTGACCCCTGTGTTTATTTGTTCAGATAACACTGGTAAAGACCAGGCAGCTTTGATCTACAGCCTCTCTAAGTCCCAGTCCTCTCTGGCCCGTCTGCTGGCTCCTCAGTGGGGTGTCTTTTAGATCAGGGAAGGAAGCTGAGAGCCCACGCTGTCGCATATTTCTCCTGTACCTCTCAGAGAAAATAATGGAAGGGGCGAGGCGGGGAGAGGTAGATTGTGAGGTGAGCCCTCAGCAACTGTATCGCTGGGGGTAGGTGCCAGGGCAGGTCGGGGAGTGGGGCTCTCACAGCCAAGATCCTGGAGGCACTGGGCGTCTGCAGGGCAGCTGGGGCATTTTTCATGTTCTGGTTTCTGGGATATAGAAGAATCCTTTCCTCCTTTTCTTGAGTATTTTATTTTCTTGCTTGTGATTTTTGTTTCTGTGCACAATTGGGGCCTGGCTGCCTCTCTTGCCTTTTCCTTTTATTATTTTGTTATATAAATTCCAGGTGTACAGCATTAGAATTCGACACCTGTATACACCACAAAGTCATCACTCCCCAAGGTCTAGTTATATCCAGCACCATACAATGGACCCTTTCCCCCCTCCCCCACCTACTTCTCTTTTTCAATAGTGTTGTATTAGCTTGGTACCTGGTATAACATTGAGAAATTCACAGAAAACCTGAAGAAAGAATAAAGATATAATGGCACAGAAGTTTAATAATAAAAACAAAGCTATAATGAGTGATAGACAAGTATCTGGATCTGGAGACAGCAGATCTGCCACGTTGCTGGAGGCTGAGGCTAGGCCTTCTCTCAGTCTCTTTTTCAAAAGAGGGCCCCTGGCCCACAGCCTGCAGCCCTTGACGGTGACTGCAGCAGGGGAAGGCATGAAGGACCCACTGAGGTGGCTGTCATCCTACAGGGCCACGGCTTATGGGGTGAGTGTGTCCAATCTGATCTATTTACCAGCTAAGGATGGGTTGTAGTTTGTTTTACACGACTTGTGGGCAAAAGCTCTGCTAGCGTACTTTTCCCAGGAACCGCTCCATGGAGCTGTCGAATTTAAAGAAGCAGAAAATGGACATTGAATAGTGAGTCTCGTTCTGGACACCTCCACCCCCTGTACCTGCTTCTTGCCCGGGCCGGGGCTGTGCACAGGGGTCTCCAAACCTGCATCTGTACCCCGGAGGAAAACCTTTGCCACCAACCCTGCAAAATTTCACTCACTCCTTTCAGACTGGACACCGGGCATACTTTCGGCGATGTAGCTCATCCACTCTCTCCAGGTACCAGGTGCCTGGGAAAAGGCTGGTTGTGTCAGCAGGGGGCGAGAAATTCACTGTGGAACGAGCAGAAGAGGCAATACTCAAAAAGCTATAGGCGGTTGGGGAAAAGAAACTAGTAATTGGGACACCTATAGCTTCATGGGGACCCTCTCCTGGCTGTGCTGCAAGGGGCTGAGGGGCCACCTCTACACCCAAAGGAGCACTGGGCCAGTAGAAGGACCAGAGCAGATCTAGTCCCCAAGGATCTAGTCCCTAAGGATCTAGCCCCTAAGGATCTAGCCCATAAGGTTCTAGTCCATAAGGCTCCAGTCCATAAGGCTCAGCTATTAGAAATTTTATCATAGGAGTATGACATTTTCCTGCAGTAAACGTGCCCTTTCTCCTCCATTGGAATCTTCATGTCCCTTTATCAATGGTACTGAGCTTGAGGCGTACCGAGAGCTTCCTGTTGCCCAATAGACACTTCCTTCTGCGTCCTAAGTTCTCTGGCTCTGACTTATTGTAGTATTTCAGCGTTTTGCCCGTGAATGTTCATCTCAGAGGTCCTATTTTTATTTTCATTGTTTTTCTTCTTTGCTCTACCGTGTTCCCTGTTCCAGATAAGATCGATGACTGCTACATCTAGGTTTTCCGGAACATTCCCAATTCCATAGGTTCTGTCCCCCTTTCAGACCACAGTGCAAACCATGTGTCTCAAGGTTTGCTTGAGAAAATACAGTTGCCATGGTTTGAAAATCACCATCTGGTCTCCCCAGTTATACCTTTAGCTTTGGTTTACTTTTCTTCTGTTGCTTTTTTGGGCCATATTTTGTTTTTGTGTTTGGGAGAGAAAGGGCAGTTGGGTGGAGATAGTTAAGTTTGTTCAGAACTCATTCATTTATTTAATTTGTTTGGCAATCCTGCAAAATTGGTATGATTTTAGAAATGAGACCACTGGGAAAAGTTCAATAATTTTCCCAAAGATAAAGGGCTAGTGAGTGTCACAAGTCAGTTGAGGTTTGGCAGTCTAGCTCCAAAGTCTGAGCTAGACAGATGGTTTTTCCAAAGATCGCACATCTGGCCTCCATGGAGCTACACTGTCTAGTACCCTGCTTTGGTTGGTTAGCTACAATCTGTACTGAGGAGCCACATGCTGCCTGCTACCTCTTCCCAACTCTGTCTTTAAAAAAAATATATATATATGTTTTTATTGATTTTTTAGAGAGAGAGGGAGGGGGAGGGAGAGGGAGAGAGAAAAACATCCATTGCCTGCCTCCTGCACGGCCCCTACTGGGGATCGAGTCTGAAACCCTTGCATGTGCCCTGACCAGGAATCGAACCCACAACCTCTCGGTGCACGGGATGACACTCAACCAACTAAGCCACACCAGCCACGGCTAACGCTGTCTTTTGCTTCCCCACCCAGTTCTTGCCCCTTGGCCCCTAACAGATCTTCTCCCTAGCATATCTTAGAGACACCGTCACCTTGGCCCACTCTCCCCTCGACTTCTGACGAACCCCTGGCTTGCAGCTGCTGCCACAGAGCCCGAGAAAATCACCTTCTCCTTCTCTCTTCCTGCCTTTTCCTTACCCTTGTGGAAAAAATGTTCTCGTTGGTCCATTATTTCTGTGAACTCCTCAGGAGACATGCGCTTCCGGGACTCAAGGCGTTTGGGCAGGTCTGACATGCTGGACACCAGCTTTTCCAGGGGGGAGCCTGGGAAGCAGAGGCAAGACAGATAAACCTGCCTCATCGTCACGGTCACTGCCACCGATCACCAGCCCAGTCGAGAGCCAGGTTTTGCGGGAGCTCGAAGCTTGGGGGAAAGTGCTGCTTGTGGTTTAGAATGCCAAGAAGTGATCAGGGCCAGCCAACGCGATGCTAGCAACACAGAGGGGCAGACGCACTCATCTAGTCAAGGTACAGCTCACGCGGTGCCAGATGGGTGACTTTTATTGCATTTGTCATAAAACAATCAACATTTCCTGGACACCTCAAACCCACCAGCTTCTCTTTAATGAGCTGCCTCCACACCGTCATTACTCTCCCCTGGACTATTTGCTGGAACAGCTTGACCGGCTTCCCCACATCCACGTTTGTCCCAGGGGAGAGTTTCAAATATATAAATTAGACAAACTTTCTCCAGTGTTGAAATCCCTCTAGGGATTTGTTCTTAATCACATTGTTCTGTCAAGGTGGGAGCCTCGGCGGTGGTGAGGCGGAAAGTCGTTCCTTTCACCGGATGAATCTTACCAGAGATGCCTGATAGGGAGACGGGACTCACCTGGAGACGCATCCTGGGACACGCGGAATGAAAACAAACTGGCCGCCAAGCCAGAGCCATAGGAGAAGGCACCGATCCTGGAGCCGGCCAGCTCCTGGACAGAGTGCCTGCAGGGAAAGAAATCAAAACCTAGAAAACACACCAGCATTGTATTCTGTGCTTCTAACAAACAACCAACCTGTCAACCCAAAGTAGTTCACCTCTTGCGACTCTAAGTGGGTTCCCAGCACTCACACAAAGAGAGACTGTTGGACCCTGGGGATAGCCCCAGAAGGAGAAAAACATGCCAAGAAGGGAGCAGCTAAAATCCAAGATGCAGAAGGCACAGTGAGCATAACAGAATTTCGGGGCATAAAAGGAGCTTCTCCCCACCCCTGAGGACAAGGTGAGTTCAGAGAGCTCTGAAGGTGTCTCTGAGTGAAGGTCAGACCATTGGATTTACCTGCAGGCTCTCATGTTGACTGGTAATGCTCCGCCCCCCTCATTAGTAATAATTTCATTAGATACATATATATATGTATCTCCTAGATTATATGCATGTGCTATAGTACAAGTATTTCTTTCTAAACCCCACAAAATAGAATGTCAATAGAAATAACAATTAACATTTGAGCACCTGCAGAGCGTTACAGTTCTAATTGCTTTAGACATTAACACTCATCAAAACTCAAGCAGGTACATATTGTTGCACATATTTTCAGATGGGAAAAGGGAGGCACATAGTGGTAAAGAGATTGAAGCTAGGTTGTGGGCTCTAAAACTAGACCCTCATAACCACTATGCTTTACTAAGTATAGAGGTTTTAAATGGATGAGATAGAAATATACATAAAAGTTCCTCTATTTTCTTGCTGCATTGAGTAGATCTCGCACATCCCCCGACAAATGCATGAACTTCGCTTTGGAGATGACTGTTTAATGCTGATAGTAACCCTTCTGTACATCCCTTTAAAACAAGCTTCTTTCACCTCCCTCCCTCCCTCCCTGCCTTCCTTCTTAAAAATAATTCTGAATCAGAAGAAGACCCGAACTTGGCTGACCCCTCAGACCGTGGGTGGGGGCAGGAGGTGGGACCAGACGGAGTACTCACTGGGACAGAAGAGAGGCCAGGCACCCATACAGGGACGAGGTGTACGTGTTCCCATTGTGCGTGGCGAGGTAAAGGGAGGCCTTGGTTTTCTTGTTGAACGTGTCCAGAGAGGCCTTTAGCAGAGCTTTGTCCAGGTCTTTGTTGATGTAGGTGTCCTCCAGCTTCAGCCCTCTGTGAGGCAGCCAGAGGAACAGGCCGGTGAGAGGCCGGGGACGGGAGGGGGGCGGCTGGGGAAAGGGATGCCTCTGGGGGGAAGACTTTTGGGCGCGTGTTTTTTATTATATGGGGAAACTGAGGCAACAAGCAAGACATTAATGGAGTCCATGGCGAGTGAGAGTGAGACCAGACACTCGCCGAGCTGCTGTCCTGTTCTGAGATTATTTGCTTCTAGGTGTTTCTGTCTGTATAGACTGTGAGGGCCGCTAGGCAGAGACCAACGAGTCCCACTTGTGTCTGTGACCCTCGAGTTTTATGGTGCCTGACACCATCGGATGTTTATCGGCCAAATGATGTAGCCGTCCCCTCTTGCCCCCTTTTCTCTGAAGCTTCTCCTAGTCACTTGATGCAGAGGTCCTGGCTCATCCCTGCGCTCCCTGAGGTGAAAGGTGGAGGACCCTATGTGGACAGGAACCCAATAACCCAGCTAAGACTCGGTGTCGCTTCTGGAGGACTGTCCTTCCCCCCACAGGAGTGGCTGGCGGCCCAGGCCCGAGGCTTGAGGAACCCCCTCCTTCCACATGCCTCGGAGCCTCTAGGCCCCCCGCAAAAGGACCCACCTGAAGGCCTCCAGCTCCTTGTAGACGCTGGCCCGAGTGTCGCTGCTGGCGGACAGGAAGTCATTGTACATCAGGCGAGCCAGGGACCTCTGGACCAGCTTGCAGAAGGGCGTGTGGAAGATCATGAACTGCAAATCGTCGAGAGTGAAAGCCCGGTCGATGCCAGCTGGAGAACGGGTGAAAACAAGGAGGTGGCGCGACCCGCGGACCAGTTGAGACTGCGCCCCGGAACCTGACTGCGCTGAGCCCGCCGGCCCCCCTCCCCAAGCACTCCTAAGGTTGCTCACTCACCTTGCGAGCATTTCGCTAAGCGCCCATTACAAAGAAAGGAGGGGAAGGAACAAATAGGCTCCTCCGATCTACTATTGCCAACCTCTGTGGAAGCTAATTCCTCCCAATCAACCTCGTGTTCCATCATTTTCTCTTTCGTCCAGAGGAGGAGACCGTGTCTGCAAAGCACGAAGCTGAGTTACGTGCCCAAGGTCACAGCTTGAAAGTGCCTGGCTTTGGATTCAGGTTCCGGCGTCCCTCACTCTACACTTCAGGCTGTTTCTCTCACTTTGAAGAGAAGGGCAGTGCACCCTCTGCCCCCAGGAGGGGAGGTGACAGGTTAGTGCTTCTCCCAAGGAGCATCATTCAAATTCCATAGGACAATATGGAGTAAAATCCGGATGCCGTAGGAATTTGGAAGAGGCGGCAGCGATCAGCCAACAGCAGTTTGGCTGTGGATGGGCAGAGGCAGGGAGGTCCAGGCTGGCTCCTTGCCCATGGGGAGCGGCTGGGGCAGCTGGCCTTCCCCCTCTGCGGTGGAAAGGGGCAAGTGGCTCCTTGTGCCACCCCTCTGGCATCCATGCTCTGATGCCTCAGCACCTGCCTTTGCCCACATCGAAACCTGTCTTTTGCAGGTGCCCATCTGAGCATGGCTAGGCAGGTAAGAACCCTTTGTATTTTGAAAAAGTAGGTTTCTCTTGATTTTTTAAAAATATATTTTTTATTGATTTTAGAGAGAGAGGGCGAGGGAGAGAGAGAAACAGCGCTTGGCTGCCTCCTGCACGCCCCCTACTGGGCATCTAGCCCACAACCCAGGCATGAGCCTGAACGGGAAATAGAACCAGAGACCTCGTGGTGCACAGGATGACACCCAACCAACTGAGCCACATCGGCCAGGGCAAATTTTTAAAATAAAATTTGTTTCTTTTCTGATTATGAAAGCAGTACATATATTTTTTAGAAGAAAATTTAGAAACTGAAGGTGAAAATAAAATCAAGTTATAACACTACCATCCAGAGAAAAGTCACTGATAAAGGTATGCTGAAAATACAGGTGAGATTTTTTTCAACATCAACCAGACTTTAAAAGGTGGCAAACTACAAACCAGGAGCCAAATCGCCCCTGACTTCAGCGGAAACAAATCAGAGGCCCAGCAGGATATGGTTATTCTGATTTACTACAGTACCTCCCCAGATGGCCAATACCCGCTGCTTTCATGCTGGTGGCTTGGACCTAGAGTGTTTACTTTATTTAGCTCAAGTCAGAGGCGATTTCATGCTTGATTTTGAATGACTTCCACATGGACTTGAGCATAGACCCAGGGAAGGGGGTAAGAAGAAGGGGACATGAAACGATTCTCTTGAGGTCATTTACAGAGGAGAGAGGAGACCTCGTCTTAAGCTTTTAGGACAAACTCGTGGCCCCGTGTACGTAGGGCCCCCGCTTTCTGCCCTCCGAGCCCCATACCTTGTTTCCACTGGTTCTGAATTTTTTGACGGTAAACCTTGTAACATTGGTCCAAGGCCCGTATGTAGCACTGGATGGAGAGCTTCCCGTCCACGATTGGGTATTCCGAAGCCCCGTCTGGTTTGTAGAAATCATATGCGTTCTCCATGTGGGTTCCCCGGAGCCCTGGCAAGGCACACATTGGGATCCAGGGACTGCACAGTGCAGCCCGCATCAAGCAGAGAGGATGGGACAATATTACAGTCTCAGGCCAAGCTTGAGCCCACTCAACATCCCTCATGCGTTCAAAGGCAGTGGAATAAATTGTTGCTGTTACAGAAATGGGATTTATATTTCCCTTCCCACACCTATACGGGCTTAACAAAATCTGGAATAGATGGCAAAAATCTCAAAGGAAAGGCTTTGATTTCATACCCAATTATCATCTTTCATCTTCAATTGCCAGTTTGGCTCCCCAAAACACCATTTATTCCACACGTCATTATCCCAATGTGTGACGGTGCAGGAGAGGAAACCCCCCTGATCCCTCTCTCTTCCCTTTCTCCCTGCCCTCTGCTCCCCAGGCCCGCCTTTAGAAAGGAAGTGATGCCCTCAAATCCATCCTTCAGCCCTGCGTAGTGGGTATGCCAGTTTGGGATCAGGAGCTACCCAGTTGGCCACCCCACGCACAATCTCTTGGTACCAAGCATCCACAGGTTACTACAAACCTCTCTCAAGGACCAGGGGGGACTCGGGCCCAACCAGCATTGCCACTGCTCCGGCGCCTCCTGTCGGCCGAGCATTGCCACTGGGGTACACTGCGATGTCTCCACAGACCACCAATGCATAGCGACCTGTAAGGAGAGACAAGTCTCAAGTAGTCTGAGTGCCTCCTGTGTGCCAGGCACAATTTTAGGTATTGGAGATAGACTGGCAAACAAAACTAAAAATCCCCATGCCGTGGAGCTTATGTTCTATGAAACTTATCATGACACATTTGAAATGCAAAGCCAAAATTCAGTGCCCCAGTACTCTGACTGTAAAATGCTCATTAATTCAGAATTCTGTTTCTGAATTCAATGAACAATTTTATTAACTGGGACTTTGGGAGGTAATTTAAGTTGGTACCCGTCACTGTTAGCACTCTGTGGCTGAAATTTCTTTCCATAGAAAGCCAAGGGATGGGGAGGGAAATGAACATTTGAAAAACTAGCTAGACACTAGTTATTCTCAAACAATCCTGAAAACCATTCCATGAGGCAGAGAGCATGTACACTGACAGAGGAAGACCTGCCTCCCAGAGAGATTAAGTCACCTGTTAAGGTCTCACACCTAGTGAATGTGGAATTTGCTCTTCAAACCCAGTTCTGACTAGATCCTAAACCATGTGCTTGGAACGACCTGATAGTATTTTTATTGTGAAAAGGGTTTATATTGAGTAACCACATTAATGTAGATGAATCATAGTTCCTACCTCTGTAATAGCCAGACTATTAATAAATAATTGTTGTCTTGACTATTGTTTGTTCCACTTGCATCTGATAGTACTGATCCTTCCCCTCTCCCAATAAAAAAACCCCACCAAACTTGAGCTTCTAGGAGAGATGGTAGTAATTTTAGTATTCTATCTAACCTGTAAGGAAGTCCCTAGGGGTTATTCCAGTGCTGTTTTGGGAACCATATTTGTATATAAGTTAATCCTCATGATAAGCCTGTATGTCACATACAGTTATCCCCTTTTTATAGATGAAGAAATTGAGGCCTTAAGTCACTGTCCAGAGCCACAGAGCGAATAGATGGAGTAATAAGGACTCAGTCAGGATTCCAACCCAAATTCATCAAAACCCAAGAGCCTTCACTTAAAAATTATAACAACTCCAACTCAATCCCAACAAAAAAGTATTTCCCCCCAAATCAATCAATCAATCAATCAATCAATCAATCTATCTATCTATCTATCTATCTAGTCTNGTAATAAGGACTCAGTCAGGATTCCAACCCAAATTCATCAAAACCCAAGAGCCTTCACTTAAAAATTATAACAACTCCAACTCAATCCCAACAAAAAAGTATTTCCCCCCAAATCAATCAATCAATCAATCAATCAATCAATCAATCAATCTATCTATCTATCTAGTCTATGTATTTATCATCTATCTACCTACCTACCATCTATGTATCTATATATGTCTATATCTTTGTCTATATCTATATCTACATCTATCTATATCTATATCTGTCTATATCTATATCATCATCTATGTCTATGTATTTAGAAGCATTAAAAACAAACGGTAAGTTCGACAAAATGTTCATTATGGTTTCTAAGGTTTTAATTCTAGTTTCCAACTTAGTAAACACTGAGTGCCTTGACTGACCACACCTCCATGGGTGTCTTCTTCAAAAGCAGGCAGGCAAATAAGAACGCTGAGGCTCAAAGACGTTAATGGGTTTGTTGACATTTACGGATAGAACTACGTTCCTAACTCTCAACTTGCGCTGTTTCCCTTGGGCCTTTTCATGCTATCACAAGAGGGATTCTTTCTTGCAACTGAGGGAAGACATAAGGAAGATACAGGGTAATGTTAATATGCAAATATAATTTCTAGGAACAAGGCAAGGGAGAAAGACTGGAAATACTTGTGTAACAGTATATCTAGTGATTCTTTGGGCCTATTTTTACCACGGTGTCTTTCCCTTAACACCTAACTTTTTTAGATCTTTCAATATCACCAGTCTCTTGCTCTCAGGCACTTAGGAGAAGCTTTAGAGAAACAAGTACAGTGAAATGGGAAACATACTGGATTTGGTTCAGTGTATTGTCCGTGCCACACATGATAGGTAAGATATCAGACCTTCCATTTTCTCACCTATAAATCAGGATAATACCCACTTCCTAGGATGTGGTAAGGATACATGAAAGATTATATGAACACGCTACCTAATTAACTGTACAAAGCTATGCAAGTCTAAGCAGTTATTATCATGGTGGTGGTTGGATGATAGCAGTAGCTGTGTGAATAACTTGTCCCTCCCTGCCTGGATGAAACCACCTGGGGAAGCAAAACTGAACATTCTGTCTCCAACCCCAGCCCTTTCTTACACAAGACCTCTGGCAGCACATACCATCCCAGTAGCTGGACTCCATCCAGTTGGCAGCATTAAAGAGGGAGGCAGTGCCACCATAGCAGGCATTGGTGGTATCTATGCCCTCAATGTCAGTGTTGCCCGAATCCTGGAAGAGCTCCATGAGCACTGTTTTGACAGCCTTGGACTTGTCAATGATGGTCTCAGTGCCAACTTCTAGCCGGCCCACAGAGTCCCATGGGATCTTCGTGCGCTCCATCAGCTGCTGCACCACCGTCAGGCACAGGGAGTTGATGTCCTCCTTGACTGAGCAGAAGCCCATACGGGTTTGGCCCAAGCCCACCGTGTACTTCCCTGCTTCCACATTATTATACTTCTCCAGGTCTGTTTGGTCCACATATTGGGCTGGGAAATATACCTCCATGGCAAGGATACCCACATCCTTTGGCCAAGTATCCGTTTTGGCCACGGGGACAGCAGGGATGGTAGAAAACCTACAGTGGAAATAACAATAAAAAAAATCTCACTAATGGTCTCTAGCCAGTTTCCTCAAAGAATAATACAGCCATCATTTCATTCATTTTAAAAATATATTTTGAAGCTATGTTATCAGAAGAACACAAATTTAGGATTGTTACATATTTCTCTTGAACTGACTCCTTTATTCCTTATTTAAATGCCCTCTTTATGTGTGTGATATTATTGTCATAGTGTCTTTTCCTGATGTTAATGAAGCTGCCTTAGTTGTTTTATTACTGTTTGCCTGGTATTTATTTTTCTGTCCTTTTATACTTTTAACCTCTTAGGGTCTTTATATTTCACATGCATCTATTCTAAACAGCATATAGTTGGGTCTTTAAAATTTTTTAGCAAGTCCTACAATACTGATGCTTTTACGGGAGTAATTAATCCAGTTATATTTATTGTAATTACTGATATAGTTGGAATTAAGTCTACCATGTCACTATTTGTTTTTATTTGCCTCATCTATTCTTTATTTCTTTTGTCCTGGTTGTTTTTTGTTGTTGTTTTGGTTTGGTTTTTTTTTTTTTTTTTTTGGATTAAGCAGGTGTTTATTATTCCAGGTTATCTCCTCTTTTTCTTTCAGTCATGATCTTAGTGATTACAATATACATAAATGGCTTATAATATAACTTAACATTTCTACTACTTTCCGAGCAGTGCAAAACCTTACTTTAATTTCACTTGTCCTCTGCATCCCTTTGAGCTATTATTGTCATATAGTTTACTGCTACATGTGTTAGAAACCCCACAGGGCATAGTTTTAAAAAATTCATTCATTTTTAACGTGTCCTCTCATTATTCCCCTTTATATTTTTTTCTTTATTTTTTTTCTACACAAGAACATACCTGCTGTCTTTCTACTTTTAAGGAAGTTTTCTGCTTGATGTCATCCTCTCTGCTTTTCCTGACTGGGCCTCCCAGTTTTTATTGAGCACACTCAACACAGTGCCAGGCTCCAGATGCACAGTAGTGAACAAGACATGCTTTGTGCCCACCAAGAGGGCACAGTCTAATGGGAGAGGCAGATGTTTCTGCAGCTAAATACACAGTGGAATGAGCAAAGGCTGTGAGAATACAGAAGGCATGAGAGCAAGTCTAAGTGGCAGCAGAAAGAAAATAAGGAAAAGGGCAGTAGGAGAAGAAAGAGACAGTCTGTTTCTTTCCTGGACCCACCCACCTGTCTTTAGCCCCGACTCCTAAGGGCCCTGCTGAAAATCTGGAGTCTTTCCTTCCATCCACAAGTACAGAGCTCACCAAGCCCACCTCCCACCTGCTCCCAAGTGACATATGACAGAGCTAATGGTTAGTCCCTCCCTAATTATTTACTAAGTTGGAAACTAGAATTAAAACCTTAGAAACCATAATGAAATACCCTTCATTTTACAGAGGGTGAAATCAAGGACCACACTGGTGGAGTGAGGAGCTCAGAGCAACTACACAGTTAGTCCTGTGTTAGAAATCTCCTGTCCTCTCACTGTCCAGTGTGTGTTACGCTCATGAGTGCCACCAAGTTCCTTTTGACTTGTATCTGCTTACAGACTTTCTGACCATGGAAGACGGACAGGGTGGCTCCACAGACATACGTTTAGCTCTGTGCCCCAGGAACTGTAGCTCTTGATTGAGTGTGTGAGTCAATCATCCCAAGGATTCTGGGCTTCTGGTAACCCCACATCTCCATCAGGAGGGTTACTTCAAAGGACAAAGCAGAGTGGGTCCTATGATCACGAGACAGTGGGGCAGAGAGATATACGTTCACCCATATCTGACAAGAGCATGCCCCCCCCACCCCAATAACTGGAGTTTGTACTCTCAAATATTTGCAGAGGAGCTGCCCTGCCTGGGAGCTAATGGTTAGCCAGCACTTGGTCCTCTGCTCTGCTGGCTCTCCCCTCAACTCTCACTCTGCCTTCTCTGAGCTCCCTCCCTCCCTCTCCTCCCAGTTGGAAATCTAAGGCTGAAGGGCAACCTGGTGACTTTTTAACTGTCTGGGGCTATTTCTGGACAGGGATTTCAGAGCCTTGAAGAAAAACTAACATATAGAGGTTTCCAGAAATAGCAGGCCACTGGAGTTAAGAGTGTCCTTCACAGCCTGGCTGGCGTGCTCAGTGGTTAGAGCATCTGCCCACAATCTGAAGGGTCTCAGGTTCGATTCCCTGTCAAGGGCACGTACCTGGCTGTGGGTTCCATCCCAGGCCCTGGTGAGGGAGCATGTGAGAGGCGACCAATGGATGTGTCTCTCTCATATCAGTGTTTCTCTCTCTCTCTCTCCCTCCCTCCCTTACACTCTCTAAAAATCAAAGGGAAATATATCCTCAGGGAAGGATTAACGAAAACAAAAAACCCCACAAACAAACAAACAAATGAGAGTATCCTTCACGTCTTATATTTTCTCTGTGGAATAACCGTCTTATTTTACTTTATTTATTTATTTTTTAAATTATTTATTTATTTTTTAACTATATCTTTATTGATTTCAGAGAGAGGAAAGGAGAGGGAGAGAGAGAGATAGAAACATCAATGATGAGAGAGTCATCGATTGAGCCCGCAACCCGGGCATGTGCCCTGACCGGGAATCGAACCCCGATCACCTGGATCCTAGGTCGATGCTCAACCGCTGAGCCACGCCCAGCTGGGCCTTATTTTACTTTAAAACTGGTTTTGATCTGGCGTCACTTGGTTCAAGAACATGCAACAAGCTTTTATGTCTTTATTTCATGTCATCTCCTTCCCTTTTGTTTCAAAATTAGCTGCTG